GGTGGGAGAAAAAGGGAAAAGCCACCTTGGCCAGAACAAGCCCCAGGCCAATGACATTCTTCATTTGGATGTGGGATGGACTCTTTACGTTTGACCAAACACCTTTAGGGGTGGTTCCCTGCCATGTGTAAATGACGTTCTTGCTTTTGAAGTGGCTGTTGATTATATGGACCAGTTCTGATGGTTGGGTTAAAGCAGTGGTCTCCAAACTACGGCCCGAGGGGTCAGAGGAGGCCCTTTGCTTGACTATATCTGGCCCTTGGGACACTTATTCTTCCAACTGACACCAATGATGAGGCACTATTCCTCCCACTGACACCATCAATGGGGCACTATTCCTCCTGCTAAAACTAACAATGGGGCACTATTCCTCCTGCTAAGACCAATGATGGGGTATTACTCCTCCCACTGACACCATCAATGAGGCAGTATTCCTCCCATTGATATCAACCATGGGGCACTATTCCTCCTTCTAAGACCAATGGTGGAGCACTATTCCTCCCACTGATACTGTCAAAGAGGCAGTATTCCTCCCATTAATATCAACCATGGGGCACTATTCCTCCTGCAAAAACTAACAATGGGGCACTATTCCTCCTGCTAAGACCAATGATGGGGCATTACTCCTCCCACTGACACCATCAATGAGGCAGTATTCCTCCCATTAATATCAACCATGGGGTACTATTCCTCCTGCTAAGACCAATGGTGGAGCACTATTCCTCCCACTGATACTGTCAAAGAGGCAGTATTACTCCCATTGATACCAACCATGGGGCACTATTCCTCCTGCTAAGACCAATGGTGGAGCACTATTCCTCCCACTGATACCGTCAAAGAGGCAGTATTCCTCCCATTGATACCAACCATGGGGCACTATTCCTCCTGCTAAAACTACCAATGAGGCACTATTTCTCCTGCTAAGACCAATAGTGGGGCATTACTCCTCCCACTGACACCATCGATGAGGCACTATTCCTCCCATTAATATCAACCATGGGGCACTATTCCTCCTACTAAAACTAACAATGGGGCTCTATTCCTCCTGCTAAGACCAATGGTGTGGCACTATTCCTCTTTCTAATCACAAGGGTGCTGTGTATTTTTTTCACACCCACTGACCACCAAGCCTGAGATATCCCTTCCCACTGACCACAGTCCAGCTCCCCTAAAGACTGAAGGACAGTAAGCTGGCTCTTTGTTTATAAAGTCTGGAGACCCCTGCTATAAAGGAAGAGTTTTACCAGCTTGTGAAATCTGAACAACCTATGTAAGGTAATAAGTTATGTCCACTTGAGCACTACTTTTGATTCAACCCTCGTATTTTAAATCTCATGAGAGATGAAACATATTCCCTCTGATCATTGGAAAAGAAGTAATGATCCCCAATAGTTTGGTGCCTAGCGATGTATATCTGTGGCTTTTAAAATTGCAATTAGTGTCAGTGTATAAATAGTCAATGAGTTTGTTAGCTCTCATGTGGATGCACGAAGCAGGCTAGATACTGAGCCATGGGGAGCAGAAAAGAACTGTCAAAAAGACCTGCGTAACAAGGTAATGGAACTTTATAAAGTTGGAAAAGGATATACAAAGATATTCAAAGCCTTGAATGTGCCATTCAGTACTGTGCAATCACTTATTAAGATGTGGAAAATTTGGGGATCTCTTGATACCAAGCAAAGGTCAGGTAGACCAAGAAAAATTGCAACCACAACTGCCAAAATAATTGTTCAGAATACAGAGAAAAACCCACAGGTAATCTTAAGAGAAATACAGGCTGCTCTGTAAAAAGATGGTATGGTTGTTTTTAAGGAGCACAATATGACGATATTTGAACAAAAATTAGCTCCATGGTCAAGTTGCCATAAAGAAGTCTTTACTGTGCCAATGCCACGAAAAAGCCCGGTGAGGCACGTCAAAGTGTTGTCAGGAATATTGTAACCGTGCTTTTTTGTGCGGGATCACAACTGTAAATCAAAAGTTACACTAATCGTCATGTAAATAGATAGCAGAAGACACCTCAAACATTACAGGTGGAACAAGTGATCTACCATGTTTTTTATTTCCTTCTGTTACAGTAATGACTTGTCATGTTGACCTGGTCTGGAGAAACTGCTGATGTGGCTTTCCAAGGCAGCAGGTCCAATGATCAGATACCTAGGCACAAGTCATGTGATCTCAGCCTAGGAGGAGTCTCAAGCCCAACTTCAGCTTTCCAGTAGAGTAGGGAAAGGGCAGGACTTTGGTTAGGTTTTGCATTGCCATCTTTTCCTCTACTGTGGAGATTTCCCTTCACTTCTTAGATGGTCACCAGAAATGGAAGTGAGAGAATGTCTTCCCAGTGGGGACAAAGTCAGGGATAAAAACCTTACAGTGGTTCCGACTTTTCCTCTACCTATTGAAACATACACTGCAGAGATACAACAGGAGATAAGACACTGCTGCATGATACAGGTATGGTTTTAGACTGGACAGGTCAGATACAGAAAATATTATAGAAGATGGTTGGAGCCTTCAGACATCCAACTGGAGATGGTAAAGGACTACAGCATGCTAAAACTATGGTTTGGTACTGCAGAGGTGCTACTGAGGATATACCACAGAAGATGATAAGAGACTGTTATGATACAGTCATGGTTTTTAGAATACTGATATGCTACTGGAGATTGCCGGAGACTGAAGACATGATATAAGTGGTTGATCACCGGGCACGTGCTGCAGATGGTAAGAGATTGGTGACGTGAGTCTCAAGTTACAATGACACTGTTGGCTTCTTGGCAAAGCAACACTTCCTTGCTTGCTGTCCCTACGTATCACGTGACAAAGGGGGACGTTGCGCCTAATACTAGGTGACATTCTGTTTAGTGAATAGCTGGGTGGGAAACCACTGACCTCTGGTTGATGGGGTCTGAGGGACACAAAATAAGTACCAAGGGGCCACTTGCAGTCCTTGGGCCACCAATTGGGTACTATGGTACCCGATTGTCTGTTGTAATCCTTCTTATAGAAAAAAAAAAAATCCCAAGGTAGCTAGTTCCCTCATTAGGTAATAAAAGCTTAGAAAAAATGCAAGTTTATGGCACAAAGAAACAGAGTAACGAGAGGGGGGAGAAATAGTGAGGGCAGGAAAGGGGGAATCTTCTAATGATAGTCCACTGGATAAGTCCAATATTAAAAAGTCCGATATTATACAGTGAAGGAAATGCGTATTTACTCCCCTGCTGATTTTGATTGTTTGCCCACTCATAAAGAAATGATGAGTCTAAAAATCGAATGTTTGGTGTATTGTAACACTGAGAGACAGAATAGCTTCAAAAAATTCAGCAGAAATGCATGTCTAACAAATGATGACTGATTTGTATGTTCATGAGGGAAATAAGTATTTGATCCCCTTCACAAAACATGACTTAGTACTTGGTGGCAAATCACTTCTTGGCAATCGCAGAGGTCAGAGTTTCCTGTAGTTGGCCACCAGGTTTGCACACATCTCAGGAGGGATTTTGGCCCACTCCTCTTGGCAGATCCTCTCCAAGTCATTAAGGTTTGGTGGCTGACGTTTGGCAAATCGAACTTTCAGCTCCCTCCACAGATTTTCAATCAGATTAATGTTTGGAGACTGGCTAGGCCACTCCAGGACCTTAATATGTTTCTTCTTGAGCCACTCCTTTGTTGCCTTGACTGTGTGTTTTGGGTCACTGTCATGCTGGAACACCCATCCATGACCCATTTTCAATGCCCTGGCTCAGGGAAGAAGGTTCTCACCCAAGATTTGATGGTAGATTGCCCCGTCCATCGTCCCTTTGATGCGGTGCAGTTGTCCTGTCCCCTTAGCAGAAAAACACCACCAAAGCAGAATGTTTCCACCAATATGTTTGACAGTTGGGATGGTGTACTTGGGGTCATAGGCAGCATTCCTCCTCCTCCAAACACGGCGAGTTGAGTTGATGCCAAAGAGCTCGATTTTGGTCTCATCTGACCACAACACTTTCAACCAGTCCTCCTCTGCCTTATTCAGATCTTCAGTGGCAAATTTCAGACGGGCCTGGACACGTGCTTTCTTGAGCAGAGGGACCTTGCGGGCACTGCAGGATTTCAATTCTTGTCGGCATAGTGTTACCAATTGTTTTCTTGGTGACTGTGGTCCCAGCTGCCTGGAGATCATTGACAAGATCCTCACGTGTAGTTCTGGGATGATTCCTCACTGTTCTCATGATCATTGATACTCCACGAGGTGAGATCTTCCATGGTGCACCAGACCTAGGGAGACTGACTGTTGTTTTGTGTTTCTTCCATTTGTGAATGATTGCACCAACTGTTGTCACCTTCTCACCAAGCTGCTTGGCGATAGTTTGCTAGCCCAGGCCAGCCTTGTGTAGGTTTACAATCTTGTCCCTGACATCCTTGGACAGCTCTTGGTCTTTTCCATGGTGGAGAGTTTGGAATCTGATTGTTTGATTGCTCTTGTGGACAGGTGTCTTTTATAGAGATAACAAAATGAGATTATCAACACTCCCTTTAAGAGACTGCTTCTAATCTCAGCTTGTTACCTGTATGAAAGACACCTGGTAGCCAGAAATCCTGCTAAATGATAGGCGATCAAATACTTATTTCCCTCATGAACATGCAAATCAGTGCACAATTTGGTAGACAAGCATTTCTGCTGAATTTTTTTAAGCTATTCTGTCTCTCAGTGTTACAATACACCTACTATTCAATTTTTAGACCGATCATTTCTTTGTGAGTGGGCAAACATTCAAAATCAGCAGGGGATCAAATACGCATTTCCTTCACTGTATAGTCACTCCTGAAATGACTTCAGCTCCTCTGAATCATAGTATTGGATAAGTCCTCATTTTCTCCTGTATTGAAAAGAGAACAAAAGGACAGAGAGCGCCACCATCTAAGTGTAGATATTTATTAGATCATAAAATGAAAAACCGTGTGGTGGCGCCCCTATTTTTTTATTCTCTTTTCAACAAAAGCTTAGAAAATTGATGGCTTTACCATCGTGGTGGTGAATCTACACTCTGATACCTTTTGTTGTAAGCAGAATATGAGCTAGTGTCGTATATTTTGAGAGCCTGCTGGTTCACCTTACAAGCCACCCAACTGTTCGGCTCATTATCCCCAATGCTTTCCATTGCTTTGTCAGTGGCGTGAGTCCTCATGTGCCTGTTGAGGTGGCCTTTATGGCCAAACCGTTTCCCGCACACCAGACAGGAAAACGGCTTCTCTCCAGTGTGGATACGTTGATGAACAATAAGGTTCGAGTTATTGGTGAAGCATTTCCCGCAAACGGGACAACCGAAAAGCTTTTCGCCGGTGTGAATGCGCTGGTGGATGAGTAGGCTTGACTTGTAGAAGAACAGCTTTCCGCACTGCGGACAGGCCACCTTGTTCCCGTTGTGGACTGTTTGGTGTCTGACTAAGCCGAAGCTAGAGGTGAAACTTTTCTTGCATACGGAGCAGACGTAGCTAGTCTGGGAGAGTAGGGAGGTTTGGTGGATCAAAGGAGTCACCTTTTCACAGTGCGTTTTGTTGTAACTGCGTCCATTGGCTATAGACAACTTTTTGGTCTTCTTCTGGATATGTTTCTTATCTCTCTCATTCAGACTCCCCGGAACGAACGCATAATGTGCTTGTGAATATTCCATAGAGGTACTATCATCACAGCTTTCTTTATCGGAGAAGGCTTCTTCCTTTGTAAGATGTCTTTGTGTGAGATCTGTGTTTGGACAATATCTTGGTGTATGACTTATGGCTGTGCACTGCGTTAGTGAAAACTCTTCGTTTATATAATGTCTTGGAGATGTAGCTAAGGTTTGACACTCTCTGGCTATAAGATTTGTGGTCCTACTAGAATTAGAGGTGGCACATTGTTTTGGTGTAGGTTCCATGGTTGTACATGGTCTTTGCAAACAATCTGTAGGTGTAGAACCTTCTTCACATGAGGCAGGCTCCATCCTAACAAAACCAGATCTGTATGGTTCAGGGTCTACAGGGTCATAAACATCCATATGTCCTATGGAAAATAAACTTGGTTCCTCTTTAATACCATTGGACTCAACTGGTGTATAATAAGTAGCTGCACAATGGTCAGCCGCTGATAGGGAGACAATCTGTCCATCTTCGTCACATGACACAGGCTCCTCCTTTATAATATGGGGGGTGCACTGTGGATGGTCATTTGGAACATAAATATCTGTGTAACAAGATGTCAAGTATGACCCAAAGTCTTCATTATCTCCAGATGGAACCTTGGCTTCAATGTATTCTGTAGGTTCAAAGACATCAGAGGTCGGGAGGCCAGCAGCGGCGGCAGAGGAGGACTCTGCTTTAATTTTTTTACCTACTGGTTGTGTCTGGGCACAACTATTGATGTTCTTCTGGGCCAAATTTTCAACCTTGCATGGGGTGGGCAGGCTTCTATTTGCTGGAGAGTTATCATCGGTACAACAAGCAGGAGAAGCTTCCTTCGTTGGAGATGCATATTGTGACCACTCGTGAGTCAACAATGCTGACATTTTTCCACCAGCGGAGGGTCTTGCTTTGGCTTTTCTTACCCACCTGAGCTTCCGTTTTCTGGGCCATTTCTTTCTACAGCTTTTTAGGCTGGTTGTTTTATTGGGCACAGGAGTTTTATTGCTGTTTACATTCGGCGATATCAATGACGATGCACAACTCTCTACTTCACAATCCTTCTTCGGGATCAAGTCTATGAGAAAGAAAATCGGCACAATTTTATGTCAAAGAATGACAGCCCAGTGTAGAAGCCACTACTGAGTGTGGGTGTAAATGTATAAATACTGTATATTCATATCTATCTATCTAAAGTTTTTAATAAAGTAGGATTTGCAATCCCTCCTAGGCTGCCTAGAGCAGGGTAACACCACCATTTAGTCCCCTCCCTGGTGCCTGCATGGTCACCCTACAATTAATAGGCATGACCACAATGGTGACCTCCTCAAAACATAAGCTGTCCAAACCAACCCCCTTTCCAAATCAAAGCCACCCGAGTCATGTGATCTTGACAGCCCAATTGGCTTGTGTTTCCGAAACTTCCAATTTCAGTGTGAGATTGGGTGTTCTTGCTCAACTTTGTGTTTCAGCTTCCAGCATGGTGGGAACACCTAATAATGGGTACAGCAGGTGGTCAGACTTGGCAACTCAGCCAAGAGGTCTCACCAGTAGCATCCCCAAGAGTAAGAGAGGAAAATGTCAACAGGTTCAGCTCTCCGGCATCAAACGAACATTGTAAATTTGGGTTGAATGGCCTTAAAGTGGTTGTAAACTCAGACGTGAAATATGAACAAAGCATATCCCTCTAGTGCACAGGTGTCAAACTGGCAGCCCTCCAGCCAGACTACAAGTCCCATGAGGCATTGCAAGATTGACAGTTTCAAGCATGACTCCCAAAGGCAGAGGCATAATGGGAATCGTAGTTTGGCAACAGCTGGAGGGCCGACAGTTTGACACCCCTGCTCTAGTGTGTACTTGTCTCAGTTAAGAGTACCAAGTTTCTCCCATTGTGTAATTTCCCAATTGTGTGCCTTCTAGGTGTGAATTGCTAATTGAGTCACCTATTGTTTCTGTCTGGTCACTGGTCCTCCTGGAGGTTCCTACAGGATGTGATTAGTCTTGTGTCAACTTTACCTCATTACCTGACCATTGTGGGATGTTTATCTCAATATTTGTTTTTATTGCTCATGAGGGGACTGCCCCTATTTTTCAAGTGTTTAAAAGCCTGTATTTCTCTTCAGTAAAGTAATTCCTTTGGTTTTACCTCAACATCTTGTCTGTGTACGATGTTTGGGGTAAAGGGCTGTTATTAGTGATGGGTCTTCTGGAAGGGTTTGGAGGGCAGGAGGCACTGTTTGGCCGAGACACACAGATGGGGTGCCCGATGGTCCCTCACGCTTAATTTTTCTTTAATTTGGATGAATTCTCAGCCGGACCACAGGGTGGGTTTTTATATTCGCCTGGTGCCTGACCCTAATTTAAACCAAAGCATACTTACTGGGAGTTGTCTCACCTTCTATTTTGGGAAGTGGCCGGTTCTCCATCATGACGTTCTTGTAGAGATCCTTGTGTCCTTCTATAAACTCCCACTCCTCCAAGGAGAAATAGACAGTGACATCCTGACACCTTATAGGAACCTGACACACACAATGATACAGTCACCATCCAGACACATCCCTTGTCTGTTACTGGATAATGTCCCAGAATTCCCGGCACTGCTCACCTCTCCTGTCAGCAGCTCCATGATCTTCTGGATGACTTCTAGAATCTTCTGGTTTTTGTTATTCTTAGTTATCGGGGAGAGAGATGGAAGCTCCATGATGGGACTGTGACTTCTGTTGCATCGTCCTGACACACGTGAACTAATGCTTCTTGTGATATGCACATCAGATCTGCTCAAAGGTACATAATCCTGCATAAAGAAATGTATAGAAATGTTCCAGCGGTTAGAACATATCAAATCTGAACCAGGGGCGAACTGACCATTTAGAAACTTGGGCACTGCCCGAGGGCCTGGGGTCAGTAGGGAGCCCCATGAGATGCCCCTGGTACCTTTTTCATAGGCTTTTTTGAGTTTGGGCAAGGACACAGGGGCCCCATGAACCCTATTGCCCCAGGGCCCCATGAGTTGTCAGTCCGCCCCTGATCTGAACATAGCTGTGTCTACAGAAGGCTTTCTAATGGTTCCTGGAGAGGATGGGGGAATCCCCCTAACTGAACACTGTATTCTGACAACTGCACCTGACGCTGATCACTGGCTGCAGTCGCTGATCGAGAAACAAATTCCAACATGTCCCTTAGACAGACGTTGGTCGAACAATTGGTTTCTGTTAAGCGGGGACTGCCACGCAATTATTGAAATTTGGCCAGTCCCTGCTGAACCAACCAAATTTTGATCAGTGTATGGCCAGCTTTGTGTTTGTTTAATAGAGATAAGAGAGACGTCATGTGACCTCCCAGAATCCTCCTCACCTCTCCGGTCAGGTCTGTGTTTTATTAATAGAGATAAGAGGGATGTCATGTGACCTCCCAGAATCCTCCTCACCTCTCCGGTCAGGTCTGTGTTTTATTAATGGAGATAAGAGTGATGTCATGTGACCTCCCAGAATCCTCCTCAGCTCTCCAGTCAGGTCTGTGTTTTATTAAGAGACAGGAGTGATGTCTCCTCCCAGAATCCTCCTCACCTCAGGTCTGTGTTTTATTAATAGAGATAATAACATGTGACCTCCCAGAATCCTCCTCACCTCTCCGGTCAGGTCTGTGTTTTATTAATAGAGATAACAGTGATGTCATGTGACCTCCCAGAATACTCTTCACCTCTCCGGTCAGGTCTGTGTTTTATTAATTAAGAGAAGAGTGATGTCATGTGACCTCCCAGAATCCTCCTCACCTCTCCAGTCAGGTCTGTGTTTTATTAAATAGAGATAAGAGAGACGTCATGTGACCTCCCAGAATCCTCCTCACCTCTCCGGTCAGGTCTGTGTTTTATTAATAGAGATAGCAGTGATCTCATGTGACCTCCCAGAATACTCTTCACCTCTCCGGTCAGGTCTGTGTTTTATTAATTAAGAGAAGAGTGATGTCATGTGACCTCCCAGAATCCTCCTCCCCTGTCCGGTCATGTCTGTGTTTTATTAATAGTGAGATAGAAGTGATGTCATGTGACCTCCCAGAATCCTCCTCACCTCTCCAGTCAGCTCTATGTTTTATTAATAGAGATAAGAGTGATGTCATGTGACCTCCCAGAATCCTCCTCACCTCTCCGGTCAGCAGGTAGATGATCTCCAGGGTGAGGTTTAATATTTCCTTGGTCATGTGACTCCTATCTTTCTCCATCCTTGGATGATGCCGGCAATGTTGGGGCCCCGTATCCCAATGACACCATGAGGACGATGCACAACGTACTAGTATGAAATAAGCACATAAGCAAATAATTGGACTGAATCAGTTCAGGTACAAAAAAAAAAAACAACAATTCCCAATATGCAAGAAAAAATAACTTTATTTGTAATTCCTGTAAAACATTTCTCAGTGAAACAAAAGAAAAGCAACTGAAAGCAAAAAATAAAACAGAATCCCCCCACCTCAGAAAGCACTGCTGCTGAGCTAAAACCAGGGTATTCAGATTCAGCAAGCCTGTCACATGTATGAGACGGCACTCAAGCTCTTGTCACATGTTTTTGTGCTGCCCATTGTTTTTTTTTTTTTGTTTTAGTGTGTGTGGGAGTGGCTGCCAAGAGAGGGGGTGGAGCTGGAACCAGGAAACATGCTAGTCTGCATTTTTACAGACTTGATTTTAGGGCCATTCATTGGTTAAGGGGAATTCCATAAAGCATTTTCAGACAAAGTGCACTTGTTCTTCTTGAACTCCCCACTCTAAATGACTCCGCCCACCCCGCTGCAGTGCAGCCCCACAGACTTGCATTAGTGTTTAGCTGCAGCACCCTCCCGACAGAAGTGACAAGTTTTGCTGCGACATATGAACAGCCGTGAGCAGCTGTATGTTAGTGTTGGAGGTTGGTAAAACCGCAACTCAGAACTCATTTCATTCCACATCCTGCTCTCTAGTTCCTTTGTCACCTCCTTCCATGCTCACCTCCAGGACTTCTCCCAAGCCTCTCTTATTCTCTGGAACTCCCTACCCCAATCTGTCTGACTATCTCCTACTCTGTCCAGTTTTAGACAATCCCTGAAAACCTTTCTCTTTAGAGAAGCCTATCCTCATCTCCAGGACTTCTCAAGAGTCTCTCCCATCCTTTGGAACTCACTACCCTAAACTGTCCAAACATTTCCTACTTTGTCTAGTTTAAGATGATCCCTGACAACACTTCTCTTTACAGAAGCCTATCCTCACCTCCGGGACTTCTCAAGAGCCTCTCCCATCCTTTGGAACTCACTACCCCAAAACTGTCCAAACATTTCCTACTTTGTTTAGTTTAAGGTGATTCCTGAAAACCCTTCTCTTTAGAAAAGCCTATCCTCACCTCCGGGACTTCTTAAGAGTCTTTCCAGGGTCTGTCCCATGCTTTGGAATCTCTACCACACATCTGTCCAGCTATCTGCTACTCTGGCAATCCCTGAAATCCCTTCTCTTTAGAGAAGCATATCATTGCCTCCAGGACTTCTCCAGAGCTTCTCCCATCATTTGGAACTCTCAACCACAATCTGTCCAACTATCTCTTACTCTATCCAGTTTAAGGTGATCCCTGAAAACACTTCTCTTTAGAAAAGCCTATCCTCACCTCCAGGACTTCTCCCAAACCTCTCCCATCCTCTGGAACTCTCTACCACAATCTGTCCTACTATCTCCTAGTCTGTCCACATTTAGGCGATCCCTGAAAACCTTCCTCTTTAGAGAGACCTATCATTGCCTCCAGGACTTCTCCAGAGTCTCTCCCATCCTTTGAAACTCTCTACCACAATCTGTTCAATCATCTCCTACTCTGCCGATGTTTAGGTGATCCCTGAAAACCTTCTGTTTAGAGTAGACTATCTCCAGGATGTCTCCTGAGCTGCCTGCATCCTTTGTTACTCCTACCCCAATCTGTTCGACTATCTTCTACTCTGTCTCCTTTTAGGCGATCCCGAAAAACCCTTCACTTTAGAGAGAGGCATATCATTGCCTCCAGGACTTCTTCAGAGCCTCTCCCATCTATGGGAACTCTCTTCCAAAATCTATCCTGAGGGCAGCACATATCTTTCATTAGGGCCCCCTGCTGGTCTGTCCACCTTGGGAAGTGGAACGACACACCCAGCACTTCCAGGTATGGGGATGCCTGTGACCCCCTCCACTTCCGTCCACATGACAGCACAAGTGCTTGCTGATTGGCTGCTTTGGTGTCAATGGTTGTCACATGGGAGGGTGGGGAAGAGTCACAGACCCAACTTGGACCTTCCGCAAAGCCGCAATTGAATGGCGGAGGGTGAAGAGGAGGCGAGGAATGGGACTGCTATTAAGCGAGGCCATCGCAGTACCTTGCATGGCTTCATTTTATATCAAAAGATGGCAAAAACCGATAACAGCCAATCAATCAAAACTCAGCTCTGACTTCAGCAAAATGAAACCTGATTGGCTGCTGCACATTGTCCCTCTTAGTATAGCCCTGTTGGTGTCATTATTGATAGAATCAGTAGGATATAAACATTGACAGCATCCTCCATCCTACAAACACATCCATCCCTCCTGCACCGCCCCCCACCATCCATCCATCCATCACTGACCTGCAGCTGCTTCCTCCCAGCCTAAGCTCTTCTATTTGCAGACTGGCCGGAAGTCGCTCGACGGAAGTGCAGAGCTTGCGTTTCACAGGCCGCTTCCGCAGTCGTGCGTTCCAAACATCCTTAGCACAGCTGTGCGTTTCAAGCATCTTTTAGCATAGCCGAAATCCCCGCGCGGGGATTGGAGAAGCGTGGCATCACGTGCTCTGCTGCCCAGGAGCACTCTGGGAGTTGTAGTTTTATACCGCTTTCAGGGCTCTTTCTCCTGATAGGTGACATAGGGAGCCCTGTCTGCAGCTCTGATTGCATGGGAAAGGCACATGCTCTGGCCTAATAATAATAATAATAACGCATTATTATATTATTAATGTATTATTTATTTATCATTTTTCATTAGGGTAATAATAATAATAATTAATAAATGAATAAAGAAATGTTAAATAAATACACAAGTAAATTAAAATAATCATAAATACTATGTAATAATAAATAAATAAATAATAATTAACCCCTAACCTTAACCCCCAACCCGTAAAAAATATATTAAACAAATATAAACAAAATAAACACCTAAACCTGAACAAAAAATAAAATAATAATAATAATAATAATAAATACATTTAAAATAAATACACAAATAATCATAAATAAATACTTGTAATAATAAATTAATAATTAACCCATAACCTTAATAATAACTAAAATGTATTTTTATTTTTATCATCAATAATGCATTTTTTTGTTCAGGAGTTTAACTATTATTATTATTAATAATAATAATAATAATAAATAATAATAATAATGTATTTCTTCAGGCACTCTGATGGGA